AGGTCCTCCTCCTTCGCGCCCATCTGCTTGAAGCCGGCGGGAATCTCCACCGCCACGGCCAGCTCACGAATCGCCGCGATGGCGGCATCGGCCGCAGCGGCATCGGTGCGACCGAGGTTGTTCAAACCCAGGGCCTCGCCAACATCGCGCAGGCGGTGCGCCGCGACCGTCTTGTTGTAGTCCTGCACGTTCGGCAGTAAGATCGCGTTGCACACACCGTGGGGGAAGTTGTAGACGGCACCCATCTGATGCGCCATGGCGTGCACGTAGCCCAGGCCGGCGCTGTTGAAGGCCATGCCGGCGAGGAACTCCGCGTAGCTCATGCCCTCGCGGGCCTCGACGTCGTCACCGTGGTGAGTCGCGCGGACGAGGTGCTTCTTGATGAGCCGAATCGCCTGCAGGCCGCAGGCGTCGGTGACCAGCGAGTTGGCCACCGAGACGTAGGCCTCCACGGCGTGCGTCAGGGCGTCCATGCCGGTCGCAGCAGTCAGCGCCTTCGGCATCTTCATCATCAAGTCCGAGTCGTTCACCGCCACGAGCGGCGTGCACATGTCGGTGGCGATCACCATCTTCACGTGGCGCTTCTCGTCAGTGATAATCGTGAAGCGGGTCAGCTCACTCGCGGTTCCGGCCGTCGTGTTCACCGCGATGAGGGGGAATTGCATCTTCGCCGCCTTGTCCACGCCCTCGAGGTCCTCGATCTTGCCGCCGTTCGTCTTCACCAGGGCGATAGCCTTCGCCGCGTCCTGCGGAGAGCCGCCGCCGAGCGAGATGATAGAGTCGCACTTGTTGTCGTTCAGCATCTTCAGTCCGTGGTTCACGTTCGTCACCGTGGGGTTCGGCTGCACGTCATCGAAGATGGACATCTGCGTAATGCCGGTCTCCTTCTTCAGCGTCGCCACGACTTGGTCCAGCAGGCCGGAGGTGCGGATGCCCTTGTCTGTCACGAGGAGGGGGTTCTTGAATTGGAGGGACTGCAGCTTCGGTCCCGCCGCCTTCAGGGCACCGGCGCCGACGAAGTTCACGTTCGGCAGGTAGAAGGCGGAGGCCGCGGCGCAGACGCGAGAAGCGTGCATCATCTTTTTTTGGGGGGTTGTTGTTGTTGTTTTAAATGTTAGGTGTGAGACAGTGAAGGAGTTATTCCCGGCCGTAACAACAGAAGAGGTAGCGGGCGGAGAGCTAGTGTTTAGTAAAAGGCGAAGAAGAAGAAGAAACCTGTGGATCGTCGGTGCGTTGAAGGGCGGCGTTAGGCATTAAAATACACAAGCAGAAATAGAATTAAATGAAAGAAAGAGATCGAGGGATGAAAGGAGGGAATGAGTCGCAGTACGGGGGGGGGAGGGTGGGGAGGTGTCGAAGGTACGGAGAGTTCGTCCTGTGCCACGGTCATGAAGATGGCACTTCTTTTTGCTTGTTTGTTTGCTGACGAGTCGCATACAGTCCTTCTTAAAACTGCAGTCGTCAAGCGCAAAGACTTCTTCATATTCGAACTAGTACGATGTTTGTTGCCTCGCTGATGCGAAACGCGCGAGAAGAGAGTTGTTTATCATGTGCCGCTTAGATTTCGTTGATGTTGGCAGTAGCGCAGAGCAGCAGCAGTAGTAGTGGTGGTATTAGTACTAGTCGATACTGCGTGAAGGCCCATTCCCCGGTGGGCGATGGCTCGACTCGCTGAACGTCGTGACTTCCATTCCCCCGGTTCCCCGGGGGGGAGGGGGGCGGGAGGCATCACGGTGCCAAAAATGCGGCCATCTGCTTCTCACAGTACTGAATGATGACCTCCACGCACGACAGCGCAAACCGCCGGGCGGTGCGGGGGTAACGCGACTCTGGGGCGTTGAAGACAACGCAGTTCGCCGCGATGTGCCACACGCTGCGCTCCAGCTCGGCGATGGTCAAGATGCGGCGCTCGTTGCTTAAGTTCCAATTCAGAAACTCCGGTGCAGCTGCGCCGGCAATGCCGCTGCCACTCCTGTTGGGACTACGCGTATCGCTCGCACGGCCCGCCTCCTCTGTGGCTAGTCCGTGTCCGCTGCCTGCCAACGTCGCCGTCCGCGTCCCCTCTGCACCGTGCTCATGGTGCGAGGTGGTGGTGGTGGTCGTCGTCGTCGTCGTGCTGATCGTGGCGGCTCGTGCGTACTGTCGGTGGCTCTCCGTGATGTAGCGGCGGACCTCCGCCAGGCTCAGTGGGGCTCGCACGATACTGTGGTACGGCGCAGAGCGCACCCCGGCAAACTCCATGATGGTCGCCGCGTGGACCGGGTTGAGGAAGTCGTCGGCGCCGTCCACTAGAAAGAACCGCTCCAGCAACGACGAGAAGTCCTCGAGGGGTAGTGGGGTGTGGAAGCGCAGCGTCTGCAGCTGGGTGCGGGCTTGTGTGGTTGGTAAGGAACACCACAGCGTGTACCACGGGGCGTCCAACGGGTCTGGCGCGACACTGGACAGTCCAGGCGCCACCGACGGAGCCGCCTGCGCGGGGACTGGGAAGGGAGAGGAGGTGCTGCTGCTGCTGCCGGTGGGTCTTTCCCCTCCGCGCACGCCGCCGGCCGCTGTTGTGGCAGGAGTGGAGAAGGAGATCGGAGGCATGCCCGTCAGACTATTCGCTGCGACGTTCACCGCGGTGGCGGCGGTTGCTCTTGCTCCTCCGCTGCCGCCGCCGCCTCTCGCCAGGGGCAGGGGTGCGTTGGAAGACGACGGTAAAACAGGCGAGGAGAGGACAGCGTCGAGGTGTCCGCCCACCGCCGTCCCGCCTCCACGGCTCAGCCTCGGCGGTGACCGGCGGAGGGCAGACCCGTTCGACGACGACGACGGCGGCGCCGCTGCAGCGGTGGCGGAGACAAACGACGCAGGCAGTGGAGAGTCGCTGGACGGCCCACGGTCCTCCATCTGTCGTTGCGCGTGTTGGCTGGCAAACGACGTTGGCGCGCGTGAGGAAGGTGCGGATGAAGCCGCGGTGCCAGATGAGGAAGGGTCGTAGGTGATACCGGCGGTGATGGGGGCTTGCGACCCATGTGTGCCTACCGTGTCACGGCGCAGTGCAGAAGGCCACACTCCATCCACCGGCGTAAAGGCAGAAGATAAGGGCGATGAACCGGTTGCAACGGGTACGCCAGACGCAGCTGCCGTCGTCGTCGTTGTTGATGCGACAGACACAGCAGCAGCAGCAGCAGCCCGCTCCTCTTCCTCTTGCGCATACGACACCAACAGGCTAGCGTGTTTCTTGGAAAACGAAGCCTGCATCGCGGCGGCACTGCTGTGAAATTGATCCTCAAAGATGCGGTGCACAACGACGTGGCGCACGTCGAGGTCCGTGCACAGCTGCCGGGTCAGCACGTAGACGTGAGCGGCCAGCAGTACCCAACTCACGTCGCCCCACCTTCGAAACTCGTCTTCCACCGACGACGTCGCCGGCGTGCGCTCCGTCGTAGCGGCGGGTAGCTGTGACGCGGAGGAGGACGAAGGTGTGGCCCTGTCGCCCTCCACGCTCGCAACGGTCTTGCTCTTCGCAGTCTGCACACCGGCGGTGCTCTCACTTGCGAAAGCACTGCTGCTGTTGAAGGAACGGATCTTCTGAGCGGTAGGGAGATCAGAAGACTGGTCGTGCCTCTGCGCGGTAAAGAGCGTGTACCAGAGCAGCCCAACCGCTTCGTTGAAGGCGATGTCGCCCGCCGCGCTGGGCGTCTCCTCTGCGCCTTCACCCTCCGCCATCTCCGCCTACGAAACGAGAGAGCGAGAGAGAGAGAGGGGGGAAGAGAGAGAAAGAGCGCAGATAAGAATAGAGACGGAGAAGGATTTATTATCGCTGTGCCTCTCTATGAAGACGATAGAAAAGCACACAAGAAGAACTGGTGAGCAGACAAGCTGCACTTGCAGGGAGGAGGAGGAGGAGGAGAGTGAGTGGGGGTAAGAGAGAGAGAGAGAGAGGCTGTGCGGGAGTCGATCCTGCTGCCTCGGAGCCCAGCTGCTGGATTCCGGCGTGGATCGGGACGGCGTCGTGCAACTACGGCTTCGGCGCGCAAAAGGCATCAAGAGTAAATCGAAAATAAAATACTACTGCAGGTATTGCACGTGAAACGCACTATTAAGCTGAAAGCATTAGGAGTGAATTAATCAAGTCGAAAGTCCCAAAGCAACCACAGGAGAGGAGCTCAACCATGCCGTGATCCCTCTTACTATCCCTCCCTCTGCTGTTGGTTAGGCTGCGCACAAGACGTCCTTCTAAAAATATGCATTACACGAAATCATTATGTTATACACCTTCGCATCCGCCTTCTCCCTCCTTTCTCGCATGCCGGATACAGCTCTTCCCACCATCCACGCATAACACCACACCACCGCAACGTTCGCTTCTACCGGTTAAGCGTCCTCCCTCTACGCGCGGAAGACTTCGCGCTTCTGCTTCTTCTTCATCGACAGCGGATTCTGCCCTCTCTGATGCGGGCGCTTTCGACCTGCGCCTCGTGGGCGGCCCTCCGCTGACTTCGCCGTTTCAAGTTTTCCTGCGGTTGGGGTTTGCTGCGGCAACGCACCCGTCACCGGCGGCAGCGGCAGGTGCGTTGCCGTGCCAAGGTGCTTCATAAAGGCGACATCCGCGCGTGACAGCTGCGGCGCTGCGGACACCACCGTCGGGGTTGAAGACGGTGCCGCTGCGGACGATGTCGGTGGCCGGTGGTGGTGCTGCTGCGGATGCGGATGCGGACGCAGATGCGGTTGTTGGCGCTGGTCCTGTCTTGAGTGAGAAGACACCCGCCTCGATGCAGCAGCGCGCTTGCTCGTTGTAGCAAAACCACTGTCAGCACCACCACCACCACGGACGTCACCGCCGTCATCGCCGCCGCCGGCCTCGTAGTGGTAGGCGGTGCCGCGCTGCTCAAGCCAGAGGGCGTCGGGGTTGGTGGTCAGCCGCAGCAGCGCCGTGGCAGGCGCGAGGCGCCGGCGTACGTCGTGGCTCTGCGTCGCCACGCAGAAGGACCGCGGGAGGTAAGGCTTCGAGGGCACCGCAGCCCCGACGGGCTCTGCTTCGTGAGCACTACTGCTGCTACTGTTCCGCCCGTCCTGCTGCTGCCGCTGCTGCTGTTGCCGTTGTTGTGGCGGTGCGTTGCACTCATCGCCTTCGGTGGTCTCCGTCTCTGGACGATTTCGCTTGCTCTTGCGGAGTCGCTTCAGGGCGTGGTGGCCCAAGGCGCTGGTCGAGTCCGTGAAACGAGGCATCGGGCACAAGCGCACGTGTGCGGAGCGGTAGCCCTCGCCTTCGCCGAGAGAGGACGGAGCTGCACCGTGCGCGAGGCAGAATTCGTTAAACGACATAAAATCCGCCAGAGCTTTCGCTTCGTTGCGCTGTTGATCAAGTGGATGTTGCTGCCGCTGCTGCTGCTGCTGCTGCAGTGGAGTACGCGCACCAGCCCGCTCGTCCTTCACCGCTTTCTCCTTCACTACCATTCCATCTCCCACGGCGTCACGTTCGTCGCCGCGCGGATCCTGTAAAAGGTGAAGCCGACTCAGCAGCGCGTTCACCACCAACGCGGGGATTTCTTGGAAGGTCAACGGAGCAACAGAAGCAGCAGCAGCGGCGCCAGCTGCACTACCCGGCCCACCAGGTCGGCCGTGCGCCTGTCCTGTCGAGCCCGCATACGCATCGCCGCCACTGCCACGACTGTGGTGGTGACGCACGTCGTCATCGCGGCGTAGGCCTAACTCACCGAAGGAGGCAGCCAGCCAGCGCTCCGTCGCGTTCAGCCGGTGATGTCGCACAGAGTCCGCTGCGTCATCTCTGGTGTTGCTCCACCTTCGTTGTTGCTGCTGCTGTTCATCGTCACGTGCGTTAGCCGAATCTTTTTTTACTTGTGCCACCGCTTCTGCGGACGAAACTGCTGCTGTTGCTGTTGCCGACGATGACGTGGTCGTGGTGAAGGCTGTCTCCCGCATGCGATGAAGGGCCGCGACGGTCTCTGGCAGGCAGTGATAGAGGAAAGGCACCGGCTTACTATCGCTGCTCTTACAGCCGTTGTTGCCTCTGTTTGTGAAAGAGTCCAGGGCGGAAGCTCTCGTGGCTGCCTCGTCGCTCTTGCCGGTCCCGTCACCGCCGTTTACCTGAAAAGCTTCCCGCATCAGCGCGTTTAAGAACTCGAAGGGCGAGGTGGACGGCAGCTGCACCGGCAGGCGCGCGATGATCGTGGCAGCCGCCACCGTCGTCGTCGACGCAGAGGGCACACGCGACCGCGCTGCCTTCCCTGTGCGGGCACTCCTTTCCTGTTGCGCGCCTTCGTCAGGCTTCTTAACCTCGGGATGAGTATCCGCGCCGTTCCCCTGCTCCGCGCGCGGTGTCTGCGACGACGACCGATGCGGCTGCGGCGAAGTTGCGGCGGCAGCGGCGGCGGCCTTACGCAGTTGTCGCTTCCGTGACTCCTTCCACGCGGGCGGCGCGTGCGCCTGCCAGTAGGAAAGAAGAACGGCGCGGAGGAACGAGGCGTCGCACAGCACGGCGTAGCGGCGATCGCCCGACGACGGCGTGCGTAGCTGATGGGAAGCGGAGAGGATGCGAAGGCACCGCTTGTTTGCGTGGGCGCGTAGAACCCTGCGCTTCATATCGTATTCGGGAATCTTAAAAACAGAAAATGATAATAATAATAACAGTAATGATGATACAGCAGAAGAGGAGACAGATGACGAAGAGTGAAATGATGATGAACTACGGTGATCACCACAAAGTACCCTTTACAGCCTACATCCACCGAGTGAAAGGCATCGCGGCGGAAGAAGAAGAGCGCACCTGGATACACATGCGTAAAAATATACATGTCTTTGGTGGTGCAGCCCTGTCCCCTCCCCCCCCCCCCCGACCACACCCAACGTGCGTGCACACCACCTTGGAGAAAAGAAAACGAAAAGAACGGAGGTGTCTCCATCGACTCCCCCCTTTCGCTATCGATTGCGCACAGAAGCAGCAGCAGCAGTGCCTGCATGCGCCTTCACCTTCTCTTTTCGATTTCTATTCATCACCCACATTCGAGAGCAACACAGAAGAAAAGGTACAATAACGTTTCATTCCCGCCGTCTTCACGCGCATATCCATATTTGAACCATCGAGACCGATAAATACGCAAAGCCCGAGAACAAATAAATAACAGCAAAGAGGAAAAGAAAGGCGTGTCGCAGCTGAAGCAAATCTAAAGAAAATGTATATAAATATAAATAAGAAAAGTGCCGCACAGCGCGGCGGCTTCTACTTTACCGGTCCCTCCACGCACCAAAGGAAGAGCAGCAGAGCACCTCCCCTCCGTCCGCTTCTTCTCGCTCAGAGCAATGAGACCGTTAGTCCTCTTCTTCTCCTCCTTTCACCGCCACCACGCACTTCTGGACCGAATAAGCAAAGAAAAGAGGGAAAAAAAAGCAGTAATAGAGATGCAGCAGAGCGTCGCATCAGCGTCGTAGGGTCAACCGCCACAGCGCTACTCGTGGCGTGCCCTCTTCCGCTGGCGTTCTGCCAATCCGTCGTCTTCCTCCTCCTCCACCACCGCCTCCTCCTCCTCCTCGACGTCGCTGTCGCTAAACTGCATCACACGACGACCCACCGCCACCAAGAAGGCGCGCAGGCCACCACGGAAGCCGTCCTCGCTGCACAGCCCATAACGTCTACGCTCGGGCTGTCGATCACAGTGCGGTTGGTGCACTGCATCGCTCTCGTCACCGCTGTCATCGCTGCTGTCGACGCCGGCGTGTTCTACGGCGCAATCCACAAGTGCACCCTGCGCAGCGTCAGCGGTGGAGGAGGAAGCGGCGGAGGGGCGGATGGCCGGCGTGGTGCTCGCGCGCTTATCGGTGGCAGTTGGCGTGCTCTCCGAGACTCGTGTTGTCGTGTCGAGGTCAACGCTCCCCTTTGCCTCTTTACTGACTTCCACGTCTTCGTCCTCGTCTCGTGAACGACGACGGCCTCCCGCCAAGTGGTGCGCTGTCTCGTTGTTCAGCGTTGGCGCCTGCACCATGTTTTCCCTCTCGCCACCCGCCGCTTCATTGGCCGCCGGCGCCGCGGGAGGATGGCTTGTCATGCGAATGACGGTGACGTCTGCTGGGACTTCGAGGTCGGCGGACGCCGCCATACTTGTATTCTTTCCATGCTGCTGCCGCTCCTCCGATGCCGCCTGCTGCCGCTTCAAGAGTGTCTCCAGCATGCCGATAAATTCCGCCGAGGCACGCGGAAGGTCACGCGTATCCGGCTGGGGTGGCTGCGTCGAGCGTCGCGCACGTTCCTGCGTAAGAGAGACGGTGGAGCGGTGCCGCAGCTCCTCCTCTTCCGCCTGTGGAGTTCCAAACCTGTCGCTGAGTGCCTCCGCTGTCACTCCATCTTCGTTTCCATGTGTCTCGTGCTGCCCCTTCGCCCTTTCCTCTTCCGCAACATCGGGCCACTCTTGCGAAGTGCGTTGCCTCGCCGCCGCCTCCGCCGCTGCCGCCTCTTCCGCTTGCTCAAGCCGTTGCCTCAACACCTCCAACAACTGCGTGCGGAAGCGCTCGCACGTGTGCAGAGCCGCGTCCATCGGCAGCTTCACCCGCGTATGCAGCGCCTGATGGGCCGCGTGCACCTCCTCCGCGTACCCGTCCAACTGCGCGGCGTACTGCTGCACCGCCTGCCAGCGTCGACGCAGATCATCCCCGGCGGGGTCGTAGGCGTCCAAGCCGTGCAGCTCCCACTGCAGCTGTTCCGCTTCCGCGCCGCGACGTGCCCGCAGCTGCGTCAGTCGTGTGAGCATCTGCGAGAGGAAGTCGACGCAGGTTTCATACAGCTGCACCAAGGCGTAGCGGGCCGGCGTGGCGATCACGCAGACGGTGACAGGGTTCACAGAGGTCGAGGCTGCTGCGGATGCCGGTGCCGATCCTGCCGCCGCCGCCTCGCGGGAAAAGGTGCTGCTGGTGGAGGAGCGGCGTGTCGTGCCGTTCTGGGCAAGTCCGGCCGCTGCTGACCGCACCGCAGCGGGGAGAGAACTGTTGTTAGATCCGTTTGCGCTGCCACTGTTGCTGCTGACGTGGCTGTCGCCCGACAAGCGTTGCGGCGTCGCGGCGGCATCGGCATCGTTAGCGCCGCGAGAGAGGAGCGGCAGCGGCGGGGCGGTGGGGGTCACAAAAACGGGCACCCGCACCCGCAGCAGGAAGGAGTCCCGCCGGTGGGAACTGCGGCCGCTGTCGCTGTCACCGTCCGCAGATGCGACGGACGAAGCCGGCGACGACTCCCGCGATGAGAAGTCATTGGCAGTGCCGTCCACCGCCCCGTCTTTGTTGTTGTCGGAGTTGCTGGGCTCGCCCTCCGCCGTTCCGCTCGCGCGGCTTTGACTGAGCCTCGTCTTCGCCTCCAACGCTGTGTCCCCCACATGGACGTTCAACGCAGAAGGGGAGAGAGTAGTAGTGGTGGCGGGGAGGGGGGTATCGGGCACACTGCTCCCCTTCAGCACCACCGTGACGGGCTCCATCGTTGTCAGCGACGTGGCCGTGCGCATCGCTGACCAGTCGTGCCGGTCCACCTCCGCCCGCATCCACAGCAGCTCGTCCGTCAGTCGCTCCGCCACGGTCGACGCGCGCTTGCGCAGCTGATCGGCGAGGTCGTGACACACAGCCAGACCCACCCGCACCGCCTCTCTCTCCTGCTGAGTCGGACAGCTCGTGTCGTTTCTAGGCGTGTTATTCCCACGCATGGCGGTGATGGCGGTGGCGATGACGGCCGCTATCGGTGGTCGGCGCTGATGCTGCGACGGCGTGCAGCGGGCTGCGAAGGCCGTCGCACGCTGCTCACGCGCAGCCTCACTTTCCAGCTCCGCCAACCTGTCACACAGCTCCTCCAGCTCCGTGGTGGAGGTCTTCTCCACCATGTAGCGCCGCTGCAGCCCGCGGTGTTCGTCCTCCAGCGTGGACAGGGCTCTGTGGAGCTCCTCCATGGCGGCGGTGCACTGGCGCACGCTTTCCAGGTCCGTCTGCACTCGTTGACTGCCCCCCGCACTCAATGGGGCGGCCGCGTTGCTCTGACCACGCATCGGGTACATCGAAGCAGACAGCTGTGGAGACTCCCCTTGTACGCCACTGTAGACGCCGGACCCGCGCGGGGTACCACGACCACCGTCACCGCCACGCCACCCCGCGGAAGCCCGTTGCTTGTTACCGCTGTCGCTCACCTCCTCCTCCTCCTCCGTCGCAATGGCCGTCGTGGTTGTAGTGTTCAGACGCCATGCACGGAGGTGCTGCGTAATGCACTGCTCCACAGCAGCGACATCACCAAAGTAACCCGCATCCACCTCCAGCTGCGCCTCAGCTGCCGTGAGGTCGTCCGCCAACGCCAGAGCACGCTGGGCGAGTGAGGACGCATCGCTCACTGGAGCAGCAGCAGCCGTCGCCACCGTCATCGTCGCGTTGTCGTCGTTGCCACCAACAACACCACGAAGGCTGCCTCCCTCCTCCGAATAGGGGGACATCTGCGTTCGGACGGGTGTGCGAGGACGTGGGAGAGCAAAGACAGTCCGAGTGGTGCTGCCGCCGTCGCCGCCGGGGCGACAGCCGCGCACGTCCGTCAGCGCAGCTGCAGCAGTAGCAGCAGCGGCCTTCCACGTTTGCCGATTCGAAAAATCGCGTAGTGTGTCAAGTCCCACGCTGCCAGTGAAGGCGGTGCCGCCGCCGTATGCGTTCTCATCGTTTGTCACACTGACAGCGGTGTCTGTACGCCGGTGGTGTTGACGATGATGGCCAACACTACGATGTTTGTCGCCGTCGCCGTGGTCGTGGATGCTGTTGCGGCGGGCGATTGCTGCGGAGGCGGGGGAAAGAAGGAAGGTCTGCTGAGGCAGTTGGATCGGTTTACGGCCCGCAACGACGGGGTGTGAGAAGCTCATTGGGAGTTGCTTGGGAGCGCCTGTGTGTGTGTGTGTGTGTTTGTTTGTGTTTTAAATGTTTGGTAAGTACAACTCTACTGGGGTTTGGTACGTTCAATAAGCCGTGTTCGGCCAAAAAGGAGGGCGAGGAGGAGGGAAGAAGAAGAAATTGCTGCCTTGACCGAAGTCAAGAAGCTCCACAGAAAAGAAAAAAAGAACGATGATGCGCAATACGAAATGTGCGTGTGTGCGGTATTTGCGTAGATTGCTTCCGATGTCCGGGGCGAAAAGGGAGTGGGGTGGCGGACAACCTGCGTGTGCACCTGAGTGTCCGTACAAGGCATCACCGGGGAGTGTTGTCATGGTGGTCCGGTGATGCGGAGACAAGGAGCAGAACGGAGACGAGATCAACGCCAGCAAAGAAAAAAAACCCGCGGAGGAAACAAGAGAATGAACAGCAAAAGAAAGAAACAAACACATTGTTTTGGGGTTGCCCCGTGGGTGCAGTGAGTGGCTCACAACACCCTTGTTTGTTCTTAGATATATATGTCTGTATTGTGTTTTCAAACACCCTTTACAACGCTCCATCTCGTGTTTTTTTCAGGAGGGCCTCCTCTCGTTGCGATTTCTTCGTTTCCATAGACGTATACGTCCACAAGGCGCCGTTTGCGACTTCATCTGTCATTCCACGATCGATGTATCTATTTACTGCTTCGGTATGCTTTCATAACCTTTCCATACCTTCGAGTTCTCCTTCTCAGCCTTTCATCCCTGTGCAGCTCCGCGGCGGCCTGACCTTTGTCAAGTCAGCCGATGCCCCTCACTTCTTAAAGAGCGCAGAGTCACGAGAGAAGAAAAAAAAAGGGAATGAAAAAAAAAAACACAAAATCAGAGCTGAATTTCTATTAGAAACCTTTTTGTCTTCAGGCCCATCAACAGCAAAGGTTTTATTGAAGCTCAGGGAGTATATTCGTTGAGTTCGGTTGGGGAAAGAGCAATGAAAAGCAATAGCCAGAACGAAGGAGAAAAACGAGGATACCGGCACGCGGGACGGTGAGTTGGAGTGGAACATGTAAAACGCCATGATGGAAGAAACCTGTTTATATTTTTTCTTTTGTATATACAAACAACAGTAAAAGAACGAGGAAAAAACAGGCCCCACTGAAGCCACGAAGAAAAAAACAAGGAAGTGGAAGATACATATATTTCCACCGTAAAAGCGGAGCGCATATATAGTTCTATTCTTCCTTTTGCGCTGTTGTTTGTCTGTTGTTATGAAAGCATGTTTGCGAAGTGGATCAAACGGACTCCCACCTCACCTCACCGCCCTGCGTTTGTGTCGGTGTTCTCGGTGGGCGATTCATGGGATCGCACCGCGTTGAATGCGATCCACGCCACCTATTTTTCTGTTTGTTTTAAAAAAGCAGTTGCACCCGGTGAAGCCCACAGCGGACGCCTCTCGCCCAGTAGGCGAGCCACAGATAGAAAGTAAAGGGAGAAGAGAGAAGCAGGAAGGATTTTGGGGGGGGGATGTGTATATTTACAAATATATATAAAAGCAACCTTCGAGTACATGTATACCTCGATAGATAGATAGATAGATAGATATGGATATACTCAAAGCAAGCGTTGCATAGCGTCGGGAAAGGAAAAAGGGGAAATGAAGCCGATGAGCGCACACGCAAACATCAAGCAGGCCTCGAAAAACAAAAAGAAAAAATATCGATCGCATAAAATGGAAATGGAGAATCGAAGCATGGAAGTCCAGGAAAAAAAAAAGGAGATAGGAGGGTTATAGAAAAAGTGAAGAGGATAGCGGGGGGAGGGGGGGGTAATGGACGGTATAGTGTACAGGGTAACCGCCAACGGAGAGAAAGGTGGAGGATAACGCCACACTGAAACACGTACGTGTAACATTATCGAATGACAGCAGAAGAAGTCGAATAAAAAAACAAAAACAACAATGACAGTAACAATAAGATGACGAAAGCAAGCTATGCCGTGTGAAGATGATCAGAGGGGTCCGATCGCATCTCACTGTCACCACTTTCTTTGGAAAAAAACACTATTAAAAAAATACTACTACTGTATATGTCTGCAAAACAGATTCAGAGGGAGAGATTGCATAGTGACATCGCGATAACAACAGTCGCTACGGCCGTTGTCTGTCACTGTGTGGGGGTGTGGGTGCGTGTTTCTGTGTAGGTATCCACGAAGACGACAAAAAGGAAAAAAGGGGAAAAAAAGAACAACGTGCGAAGTATAGTACGGAGCAGAAATCACATTCTGAATTAATAAAGAGAAGAAGAGAAAAGGTCCTGTCTGTAACGGTCGAGGTTCTGTCCTCCTCGTTTTCTTCGGCTTCACGTGGACGAAAACAAGAAAAAACGCTAGAAGAAGAAGAAAACAATAAATCAAAAACATTGTGTGTGTGTGTTCTGACGGTGCTGTGTCGAGGAGTCTTCTGTCTCCTGTTGCGTGTTTTCTTCCTTCCTCTCTTGTGAGCGGGTACGTGCGTCTGCGTGGCGGCGTGGCAGGGTAAGAGAGACGTGGTGCTGCTGCCCACTGCCTCGCAGCAGTGAAATCCGTAAATAAAGAAATATCCATGATTCATTGGTACCGTTGCTGCCACTGGAGAAGGAAGTGAGAGCAACAATACCAACAAATGCTGGCAAAAGAATCCACGTCCTTCTTTCTTTGGACTTTCCTTTCTTTTTTAAGTTCTTCTTCCCGGCTCCGATAAAACCAAAATAAGAAAGCGCACGCGACGTGCAGCAGCGATGAACAAGACCCCTTCCATCTTGAGTCCTTGTATAACAGGGAAAGGGGAGGGTGCGGCCGAGAGCAGGAAGAGCGAAAAACAAAGTGCAGAATCAGAGGAAGAAGACGTGTCCGCATGTGTGTGTGTGTGTGTGTGAAGCAAAGGGCGCGGCGCTGTGAAGAACAGCGTGCATTCCCCACTCTCTCACACACACACACATACACGCGCGCACTGCTTTATCCCACTTGCGCCGAGAAACTAAAATGAGGAAACAAAAACAAAGAGTCAACGAGATGTGCTACACAACCGGCGAATAAATAAATAAAAAGCAAAATAGAAGAGAAGAGAAGCCGATCCAACGAACGAAGGGACAAGGGAAAAAACCCAAAAAACAAAAGCGGTAAATCATTAATAATAACAGCAATGGGTATTGGGTTCTTTCATTATTAACCAGCCGCTTCCTTCTTGGTTTGGTCTTCATTGGATTGTTTGATTTAAGCATGCAAAGTTGGAGGAAGAAAGAAGAGGGGGGGGGAGGAGGAGTCAGAAACAGAAAAGGGAGGAAAATCTATAGCGGTGAGGCCCTTCGTTGCTGCAGTAACGCAAAGCCGCAGCGAGGTGGAGGGTGGGAGGGAGGAGACAAAGGAAAAAGGAATAAGCGAAGGCGAACCACACAACGGTGGATTCTATGAACAAACAAAACAAAATAAATAGATAAAGTTTCTTCATTTCATCTTATTTTCTATTCATCGTTTTCAAACTACCTTTCTCTCTCTCTCTTTCTTTCTGTTTTGCCGTTTTGGTTTGGTGCGCTGCGTTTCCTGCGTCACGGCGTAGGTTCATTGAACAAACACATCTGCTCCGCCGCCCAGAGCGCGGCGGCGCTGACGGCCTCCTCCTCCTCCTCCTCTCGCGCATCGTCGTCGTCCCCCACGCACTCGTTGCCCTGCGAACTGTCACGGGGATGGCGGTGTCTACCACGGCGTGGTGGGTTCACGGGACTCCACAGCGCCTTACGCGGCGACGTGAACAGCGACGAGCTGCAACACAACGAGCAGCCGTCGTCGTCGCACGACAGCAAGGAGGAGAGGGCGCCGGTTTTGCGGAAGAGTCGACCGCCACGCCAGCGCGTGCGCTCCTGCACGGCACGCTCAAACCGGGTGTAGCTGCGCAGGCGCTGCCAGCGCGGACTGCTCCATAGCGACGTGAACGTGGTTGGGAGTCGAGCCTGCCGCTGCGACACCGCGGCTGAGGAGGGAGGAGCACATGAAGAAGGTGGTCCCTCCGCAGGGGACGCCAAGGAGGGGAAGAGGGAGATGGAGTGGACGTGATCGGCCCCGGCACTGTCGGCGACGGCTGCGATGTCATTGCCGTCGTCGTCGTCGCCGCACGGAAGCACGAGAGCGACGCTGCGGCCAAACAGTGGAGGAGCGGCTGCACGTGGTGGGCTGCACAGCGTCGTCGGCCGCAGCTCCGCCGCCGTGCGGAATACCGGAAAGTGAAGCACACGCACCGCGAGCGCGCGATGAACTGGCAAGATAAAACGACCAGGCCTTAGAGACGTCTGCCAAAGCCACTGCGTGCAAGAGCTCACGCCACCCGCCTCCGCTGCTGCTGCCTCGTCGGCATCGACACCGCACAGCACACGCGGACTGCGCTGCGTGTCGCCGCACGCTGCCTCGGTGGGTGACGGTGTGCGCAGGAGGAGTGAAATAAACGAGGCAGCTGTCTCCACCGCTGCTCGATCATCATCATCATCATCGTCGTCGTCGTCGTCATCGTCGTCGTCGTTGGCATCGTCACCGTCCATCGTTGTGGCCTCTCTCGAGTTGTGGACAGCGCTGAATGACTCGCTGAAAAATAATTGCGAAACAGCGCTGTCTCGAACTCCGCCGTCCTCGCAGCTGCACCCTTCCGGCGGCAGGCAGCCGTCGACTTCACCAGCAGCTTTGTTGGTAGAAAAAGGACCTGCGGCCCCACGCTGCGGCGAGGCCGGCGCGGCCCCCACCGACCACGGCATCGCCACATCTTCCGTCTCGGCATTTTCGTGTGCAACGGGGGAATAAACATGGACTTGCCGGCTTCCGTGTGTCGCGCCCTCCGCAGGAGGTGTGTGGAACGTTGGAGGCAACGGCCCAGTCAGCGTCGTACGCGCCTCGGCGGAGTTTTTCCCTGTTGCTGCTGCTGCTGCTGCGACTTCCGCTGAGTTCACCTTGCTCCTCCCTCGCACCTCCGCGATCGCGGCTGGCAGCGGCGCAGGTGCTCGTCTCTGATCCTTCCCGGTTCGCGACAGGAAGCACGGAAGCTCCTCGTGTAGACGCAGCTGAAGCAGCCGCAGCGAGGTTGGAACGTGTGACGGAGCGACGTTCTCATCGATCTCGGTGAGAAGCAATGGATAAAGCGGCGCTTCCGCTGGTGGTGGTGGCTGCGGCGACGAGCAGCTGCAAGATAAACCGGCTTTCACGCGCGACATGACTGTCCTTTCTCTTTTAGTATTCTCCTTTATTTAATTCCCGGTTGTGTGTGTGTGTGTGTGGCGACAACCCCGTCAATGAAACCCGATCAAAAACAGAAGAAAACAAAAAAAACGCTGGACGGCGAACGCACCTTTTCGAAACCGAGAGGAGTAATGAAAGCTCCCTTTCCTGCCCAAGTGTGTCGCCCCGCTCTATGATGCTCCGCTTCCTTCCTTCGTCGCCTGCCCTTGCTGTCCCTCCGCAGAGTCGACAGAGGAAGTAAGGGAAAAAAAGAAAAGAAAAGTTGTTTCGGGTGAGATGAACGCTTTGTGTTCTCCTCTTCTTCTCCTTGTTCGTCGCTGCTGCTGTTGCTCTGTGCTTGAGTGCGCGTTTCCGTGAAGGACGGAAGAGATAAATGAGAGAAGCAGGCGCCAACGGAGCGAAGAAAATCCCAAAACTTCTTTTTAATGTTTAAAGGTCAGCGTCCTTCACAGTACGGAAGTACAGATTCTATTGTGTCGGGTTGCCTTCTGCCAATGCGACTTCTTCTTTGCTTCTTTTTTCTAGGAGGTCCTTCGCCTCCGCTGCTGGCGATGAGGACGAGCGTCCCTCCTCTGTGTAGTCTCCTTCTGTTAATAAGACAGCAACAAAGGGGGAGAGAACAGCGACGCGTGCGCACCCTCCCAGCTGCAGTGAAGACCCTTCACGATCGTGTGGTTCGCGGTGATGGCAGCTCGGGTGTTCGTCGCTGTCCGTCACGCGTTACACAGGAAAGGAAAGGAAAGGAAAGGGAAAAATAGGTAGAGGCGTATCGCCTTCTCCGCGCTCCGTACGCCGGTGCGTTGACGAGTGGAAAGGCAGAAAAGAAGGAAGGAAGGGAAATGGGTGCCTCGACACGAAAGTAACGCTGTTCTCACCCCGTTCCTGTGTGTGTCTGTGTGTCTGTATGTGTGTGTGTGTGTGTGTGTGTGTCTTCTACTGGATGTTTTTCCTAATATTTCTTCCTTACCTCCTTCTTAACGGTCCGCATGAAGCAGCAGAAAGGACGGAGAATGCTGCCGGAAAGTTGAAATAATGCGTGGCGTACGGCGGTTGTGTCGAAGCGTCGAAGCATGTATAGATAAGGCAGAGGAGGGTGGGTTGAAGTGGGTGGATCATGGAAGAGGAACCCAAAGAGAAAAAAAGATACGTAGAAAGGAAGGAGGGAGGGAGAGAGAGAAAAGAATATCGTGAACGAAGGAGACAAGACAGGAAAATCAAAAGAGCTGGCCAAGCAACACGATGGAAGAAAAAAGGCGAGCTGCTCTTTCATGGAAAGCCGCGGTTTCCTTGGTATTATTCTTATTTCTTCCTAACGCCATGAAAACGACGGCACACACGCACGCTCACACACATGTTGTACTCCATCTTCCGCAACGTAAAAGATGCGAAAGTCCAGAGAGAAAGAGAGGCGACAGGAGCTGCACCTGTCGCAATTCGAAATGCCGTTTCACGTACCGCCAAGAGAGAGAGCAGGGGGAGGGGGGGGGGACTCCACAGCGCTCGCTGCACGTTTTGGTTCACATAGCGGTATGTGCGTGCTTCTTGGTGAGTACGTCAGCACAAGCTTCTTCAATACTTTACTCTTGTCTCTCGACGTGTCTTGTCGCGGATTCTTTTTCTGCCTTGACTGCTTTTTCTTCTTTGCTCATTTGAATGCCGTTGTATATATTCTAAGAAGGTGGAAGTCAAAGCCAGCCCTCCGCGATGTCTTCTTTTTTGGGGGAGGGGGAAATGATAATAAATCAGGAAAAGGCCGTGAAAAGATAGAAAAGACAAAGGAAAAGGAAAAAGAGATGTGTGTTTGCGTATGTATACCGAGCGAAAGATAACAATGGAGAGCCAAGCACCCCGAAGGTACGGAGATGACCAGACTCGAAACATAGAAAGCCTGCAAAGAAGGGAGAGAGAGAAAAAACAAAAACAAGGAGTAAAGGCGCGTATGTATACAAACCCAAAAAAGAAACTGTTGTGGTAGCTGCGGCTGCTGCTCTCGGACAGCTCGCGGAGGTCTTCTTCTCTCACACCCACCCGCTCTGAGAAGCAGTGCCGCTTTGAGTCAACCCCGAAGTTCAGCCACAACGGTGGGGATATATATATATATATAAAGTAAAAGGAGATTGTCGTCTTGTTCTTTTTTTCTGCTTTCCGCTGTTTGTTCTCCCTCTTTCCTTGACAGGTTCCTTCAGTTCCTCCTCCTTCACAAAGGAAAATATATATATATATATAAGAGCAAATGCGTTTATGAGACGACGCGGACAGTAAATCGCGTTAATCATCACAACACAGCGAGATACCGTTAGGTGTATGCCTTTCGCCGTGAAATGCCGCCACCGCATGCTTTCCTCTTGCGTTTTATTTTTTCCCTTACTCTCCGTGTCTCTGAACTATTCCATCTCCTCTCATGTCCACGGAGAAAACAATGTAAAATATATAAATCATTTTTACCGTCAGTGTGGGCCGTTAAAACAACAGAAATACAAAGAGAGACGATAAACAATCCGATAAAGCCGATTTCAGACGCAAATACGATTAAGAAACGAACCAACGCGTGAAAGCCATAGCCCACCCGACAACATCCACTTCGAACGGTAGCCAGTCGAGCCAGGGGAGAGCAAAGCCAGTCGACAGCGATTTCGGATGCAACGGGAATATATATATATGTATATACACACAGGCTCCATGATCAATAGCACACAGTCAAAAAAAAAAAAGAAAAGTGAAGTGAAGCAGCGAGAAGAGCACAGTTTTATTTTACTCTCGTGGCGGCTTTGCGTACTCCAGATGAGCTGGAGATGCGATGGGCCGATGCCGTGATACAAAGCAGAAACAACAAAAATGCGTTGACACACGGGCAGGCCCACACCTCCCGCAAGAAGCTGCGCGTGACTTTCCTTCCGTGCATCTCGTATTGTTGTTGTGTCTCGCTTTTTCCCTTTTTGCTGCATATCGTATTTTTTTAGTTTTGAAAAAATAAAAAGCACCCTCCATCTCTTTTCTTCCTCTCGTTCTTCTTGTTACCTCCTCGCCTACTTACCGTCTGCGCTGTCGGTTCACTGAGCCACGTTCTGCCGTGCGTTGTGCCGCTGCTGGCGTTCGCCGCCGCGGTGGCTGGTCTGGCCACAAGCACCACAACTTCTCACCTCGCCCCGGCTTGGTGAAAAAGAGAGGGAGGCGGGCACCCATATGTGTATATATGCAGAAGGATGTATAGAGATAAGTACATAGGACAACGGAGAGCACCCCCTCTCCTCTCTCCTTCTGTCAACTAGACAGTGAGGATCTCAAGGAGGAGGAAGAAGGGAGAGGGATCAACAGTATAGATATATAGATAGATATGTATACACAACATTTGCCGTCAAAGTAGAAACGGACAGGAGAGAACCACAGCGGGCCTTCTTTTTTTTAAGGTAAAAAGAAAAGCAAAGGAACAAAGGAACAAAGGACAACGCACGGCGGGGCAGCACCGCAGATAACAGCGTACAGGGACGCTTCTTCCCCAAAAATCCTTTTTTTTTCAATGGGAGAACAAAAACAACAACAAAGAGAGAGAGAAGAAAGAGAAAACCAAAGAATAAGCATTTATAAAAGAACCCATTATCTCCCATTCCTCTCTCCGTTACACTTTGAACTTATTTCTGTTCTTGTTCTTCTTTTCATCGTACTCATCTCTATTTGAATCAATGAAGAAGAGCAGGTTCACTCTAGCCGCATCTTACTGCGTGCGTGGATATTGAATGAAAGAAAGAAAGAAAACAAAAAAGAGATGACACACAGACACACAGACACACAGGCACACAGAGACACACCGAGGTATTCTTTAAAGAGAAGTGTTTCGTATATACAACACTAAGAAGCAAAGAAACCATTCGAAAAAAAAAGGGGGAGGGAGTACAGACAGGACTTTTAATAATGTGTAAACGATAGAGTAAGTTCCACACAAGAGAGAGAAAAAAAAATAAGATAAAGGAGCATCGCTGAGTGCTTTCTTTTCTTGTTGCTGTTGCTGCGGCGGCGGTGTATGAACACGTTTGAAGGATCACCGGGCAGGGCACGGAGAGGCTGCACGTCCGCCTTCTACGCACCTTCTCTTCTCGTTTTTCCTTTCCTTTCCCTCTCCCCTTTCCTCATCTGCGCCGAGTCTGGCACGTGTCTTCGCTTCTGCTTAACACAAACAATAAAGGAATTCGCTTTTCTACTTCGAATCCTTGTAAGAAATCCAAGCGACGCGCAGCGCTGGCAGCAGAAGATGAGTCCTACACCTCTTTTCCCTTCGCATCTTAATAGGAAGAGATATATCAAGATGTTGCCGAAAGGAGAAAGAAAAGAAAAATAAAAAGGGAAAGGGAAAGAGCGTTAAAACAAAAAAATAGACGCCAGAAAACGTTGGCTCGGCTACACAAACGCGGTCATCGAATGTATGTGTTGTGCCTGCTTGTGTGATCGATTTTTTCTATTATTATTATTTTCCAGTGATGGAAAGAGCATAGATATAACTTCCTGTACAACGATCCTCAGCTCTCTTCCTCTGGAGAGGTGATAGAAGACAAACAAGTTCGGTGTAACTACAAAAACACGTCTTAATAGAACACCAGCGAACGTTGCACTGCGAAAGACAAAGAGAGAGAGGAAGCAAAGAAGAAAGGGGAAAAATGATGATCATGATAGTAATAAACCCAGCAGACGGTGCGGGAGTATGGCACAGACGCCGCTTGATGAGCCGCGAGGAGAGGGGTGGGGGGGTGGGAAGAAGGTAAAAGCGCCAACCGCTGTTCACGGTAAGTCAAGAAAAGGGACATAAGAGGATAAAAAGAAGGGGGGGTGACAGCAAAATGAAAACAAAAACATCCCTTTTAAAAAGAACCGTAACGAATGATTTGGCTTGTGTCACGCAGTGAGAAAACACACAAGGAAGAAAAGAGAGAGGAGGGATGCGCTGCTGCTGCATTGTCTGTGGCTGCTGCAGCTGTCGCGTTGCGTTACACAAGACCGTGGAACGCAAAGAAATAAGCTTTGACCGCTTGTCTACTACACACACATACACACAGACCTCCATCCATTCCATTTTATACCCCCCGCTGTGTAGGGATACAGGGGAACGACAAGGAGAGAGGATTAGAGGAGGGAGGGTTCATCAAGCGGTGCATTAAGAAGGAGATACGATATGCAAAATTGGTTAAGGGAGGGAAGAGCCACTCAGGGTACAGCAATAGACTGTAATGGAGAACAGAGTACAGATTTGGAAATACATATATATATATATATATATATATATAAACAAAGCACGACACAGATAAAGCGATGTCCATTAAGCTTCCGTTTTAAAGTACAACAGATTTAAAAAGGCAAGTAGATCAAAATATGTATTTTTCTTCTTCTTCTCTTTCCACCGCTCACTCGTTGCAGCTGGAAGCCGTCACACAGCACGGAGCGAGGGAGGTACGAATCCCAGAGTAAAGACCAGCAATATCAGATGCATGTATACGTATATATATATATATATATATATATATATAGTTCATGCAAAGGAAGAGGGCAGCTTTGCAGGTGTGCGTGACCCTGCTTGCTAATTCGTGTGGTGAGAGAGGGGTGCATGTGTATGTGGGCATCCGTGAAGCAGTACAAACAGCAGCTTTAAAGGTGCGTGGGATGAAGCACACGGGGTTAAACCTCTGCAGTGCACAACACGGCGAGCTGCACACGGACAAAACGATGTACCACAACAACAATACTGTTAAAAACAGGGAGAGAGAGAAAGGAGGGAGAGCAAATCGATTTGACTCTTTCCTTCACAGATGAGCTATTCGTTAGCCTTGCTGTGCTTCCGAGTGGGTGCGAGCGGGTGTGTGTATAATAATAATAATAATTAATTTTTAAAAGCATTCGGGACGGGGGGAGCGTAACAGGGAAAAGGAAGAAGAAAGAAAAAAAATTTCGGTAAAGGAGAGACAGAAAAACAACGCGAAAGCGAAGGGGGAAAAAACGATTGCAGATGAGAGTCGCAAGAGGGAGAGAGAGAGAGAGGGTAAAAAAAAACAAGAAAAGAAACAGAGGAGGTCCTCCCTTTTCGCAAAAAAAAAGGGGGAGGGGGAGGTCGTTTTCACCTTCACTACTTTACTCGAGAACTAAAAGCTCAGTGCTACGCCACCACGTTTCTCTCTCCCCTCGTCTCTCCCCTCTTCTCCAGCTCTCGAATGAGAGGTCAGCGAATGCCAGAAACGAAGACAATGGAAGAAGGTGAACGCTGGTGAGGAAGATATAATAGAATAAAACACAAAATGTGCTGCAATGAATTATTGAAGGAGATGAGGGGGGTGGGCGGCAACCAAGAGAAAAAGGAAAAAGCCAAAGATGCTGAGCAGGAGAGAGCGAGAGAGATATTTATATAACTATAGCGTGGCAGTTCGTGCTAAACGCCGGTAGGTATATAAAGTAACACCGAAGCAGCACTTCGCCTAATCACATGCGTGGGCGGTGCGTGTGTGATTGTGTAGGTGAGTGTGTCGGTCAGTCTATGCAAATTTGGAGGAGGAGGAAGAGAGAAGACATAAAAAACCGTTCCTGAAGCAGGGAGATGGGTGTGCGTGTATGTCGCCTCCCCGATGCCTCAGCAGAAGCTTTTCGTTTTCTTAATAGTAATAATAATAATAAAAGAAAGGACTGCAACGCAAAGTTTCCTCCAGCAAAAGAATACCGGAGGAAATGAAAGATGAAGAAGAGATGCCTGCACGAGTGTGTGTGGGGGAGGAGAGAGGGGAGGAGAGAGGGGAGGAGAGAGGGGAGGAGAGAGGGGAGGAGAGAGGGGAGGAGAAGAAAAACAAGGGGGTGGGTTATTTTTGAGAATACCAGAAAAAGAAAAAGGGTGCTCATGGGGCATGTTAAAAAGGGGAGAAAAATCATTAAAGGAATAAAACACACAAACTGCCGAAGGTACATGTGTGAACACCGCTAAAAGCTGGAGAAGGAAAACGGAAGGGGGGGGGAAGGAAGGAACGCACACAACACGTAAAGTGCAGGAACACGAGGTATACCGTGAAAGCGTATATAACACCACAACAAAGCACAAGTTGGCAAGGTGTTGGTGTGTTCGTGTGTGTGTGTGTGTTTGCGCTTCAAAAAAACTGGAAATGAAACATGCAAGAGAAACAAAAAAAACTCACAAGAGAGTGGAAGAATTCAAAAAAACATTCTGTTAGAAAATCGATTCTTTTCAAGTTTCTCTTTTCCTGAATGTCGTCTGATTCCCCGATGCTCGGTTGCAGTGGAAGAAAAACATCGATTATTTATCTATAAAAAAAAACAGGAAGGGGGGGGGGGCAGGAAGAAGAGGCGCAGCGTTCCTTCGCCTTTTTCTTCTTGGTTTGTTTGTCATCATACACGTGGAAAAGCGGAAAAGGTCGACGAAGAAGGCCGCAGAACGACACACCTTTCCGGCTCTCCCGCCGAACATGCGTTGTTCGCCGTCATCGTTCTTTTGCTCATTTGCTGGGAGAGTGATGTGCGTGTGCGTGTGTGCGCAGTGGATGAGACAGAACGCCACTAGACACGAAGAGCGGAGGGAGAAAATTTTAAAAAAAGGACAAGGGAAGATGCCTCAACTTCCTCTACATAAAAGAAAATCAATTCAGCAATATACATATATATGTATATACGTATATATGTATATGTGTATGTGTATATAGAGAGAGAGAGATAAAGGAAAAACATCAGAAATCAATACACGAAACCAAATTAATCATGTAAGAGAGAGAGAAGAAAAAAAAAGAAGGAGGAGATTGCACAGACGGCGGCGAGCTGCTTCGTTACGGTCCTTCACCATTCGTTTGAGAAGGCGCTCAAAGGGAGAAAACTAAAAGCGAAGGGGGTCAGTAGAAAAGGGAGGTACATGTGTGTGTGGGTGTGTGGGGGTGGATATAGAACAGCTGAGCCGCAAAAGTCAGGAGGGAAAACAACACCTGTATATAAGTATCTCCAACAAACACAAGAGCAAGAGAGAAGGAAAGAAGGATCGAAAGGAGCTAAGGAACATGACTCGTTCAGGGCAAAAAGGAAAAGGAAAGAGAAAAAGAGAAACATGTTAAAATAATTCAGAAACGATCATCAGCTTGTGCGTGCGTGTGTGTGTGCAAGGCAACGCGACAATCGAACTCGCGCGATCCGCACGCCTTCTTTACAAGAAAATGTATAGGAAAATGTATAGGGAAAAGAAAACATTCCAAAATGACGATTGAATGCCGGCGACGAAATGAAAGACGACGTGTCGATGACACGAGGACAAGACGGAGAAAGCAGAAGAAAAAAAAGGATTGTCCAATTCGTTCTTTTACACCTCTCCTGTCACACAGCTATATATATATATATATAAATATATATAAATCTAAAACATCGCGACAGCCGCCAACATCGCTGCATCACGCAGGCTCGTGGCACACGTTGCAGCGGTGCACTCCGCACATACGCCCTCCACCCACCACAGGCTCATCGACGAGGTCGACGACGAGAGCGGCATCGGCGTCGACACGCTCGTCCTGTTTGAGAAGTTCGCCGTCGGCGTGGCGTTGGACGGGTGGAGGGGCCGCTGGCACGGCGTGGAGCCGCTCCGCAGCAGCGACGGCCCCTTCGTGACGCGGGGGGACGACGAGGGTGGGACGGCACCCGTCCCACATCGCATCGGCACCGGCGCGCCGGCCGACCCTCGCAGCCCCGCCTGCCCGTTCTTCTCTTCCTCGCCTCTCTTCTCATCGTCCGCCGTCGCACACGGCACGGCTTCTCTTCCGCAGAACTCGCACCGCGGCAGCTCGGTGCGCTGCAGCGCCGACGTTGAGACGGCGATGAACGACGGCAGCGTGCGCACCGCGAGGGTGACGCGGTGCCCCTCCGCTTCGTCCTCCTCGGGCCAGAGGTGCAAGAGTGTCTCTGACACACGCACGTCCGCCCCGTGATCCTTGAGTGGTCGCTTCACGTGCGCCGGCACGCAGTACACGTCCTGTGCGGCGCTGCTGACGTCGTCGTCGCTGTCCGTGGCGGGCACCGCGGCGGGTGCCTGAACACCGCGCTCCATGCGGTGAACGGCTCGCCAATGCGCCGCACAGCACCAGTGCACGCGCAGTGGTGCACGAGCGAAGTGCTGCGAACCCAAAAAAGAAGCAGCAGCGGCAGCAGCAGCAGCAGGGTTAACGCTGTCCTGCCTACCATGCACCGCACAGCTCTCCTCGTCGGTCGACACCGGCAGCAGCGTGACAGAGTCCGTTGTCGCGGCCGCGTCGTCAGACGGGATCGGCGTCGCCAACGCAGTGCCCCACGGCCCCACCACGGGGCCCGGCATCGAGGGGCTGTCGTGGAATCCCTCGCACGCCCCCTCCCCGCCCCTCTCCTCTGTCGTCGTGGTCGTCGTGTACGCCGGCGGTGTGTCGGAGACGGCGGCCACCGCCGTGTGCAGCACCGAAGTGGACGTCCTGCTGACGTGTTCGTGGGAGGCGACCACCGCTGCCACCGCCATCGTTGCCATCGCAGAAGCAGGAGGAGAAAAACGAAGTTGATCCGCCCCGGCCGCGGCGGCGGCGTGTCCACTCACCTCATTCAGCGTGTCGAGCTCCGTCACGCCGGTGCGGGTGATCGCATCCGCCGTGAGACTCGTCGCTGTCGTGACAGCGGTGGTGGCCCGCGAGGTGGCCCCGACCGTGACGCCATCCGACAGGAAGAGCCCGTTGCTGAAGGGAGAGAGGTCGTCCGTGTGGGGGCCGCCGGTGTGGCACCCCGAGAAGTCCATCTCTCCCGACACCGCACTCGAGTTGGTGCCATTCGGAGCGATGGACATGCTGGTGAGGAACGAGCTGTTCCGGCTGTCGTTGCTGCGGCTGAGGCTGGTGGTGTGATGCGGCGAGGGCGAGGCCCGCAGAGGCGACGGCGCGGGCGAAAAAGGTAGTAGTGGAGCGACGTTCGGTGTGCGTGCGTGCATGGAATGCGTAGGTGCCGCCCAGCTGTGCATGTCTGCCGCTGCGGTCGCGGCTTCGTCTGCTCCTTCTTCTTTTGCGTGTTTGGTTGTTTGACTCTCTTCGCTCTCGCACGTTCTCTCGGAGGGCCAGAAGAAGACAATCGAAAACAGCGTTCAACGCAGACACGCGCACGGGCACACAACAAAAGAGAAGAGCACGCCGTGCGATGCGGTCCGCACAAACCACAGGCCCAGCCCCACCAACAAATACAGCCCGGAAAAAAAAGGCGTAAACGCTCGGATCAGCGCTATCGCAATACGTCTTGTGTGACGACCGTGCTGGGGGAGAAGGGGAGGGGGCGGAGGGACCTACCAGAAAAAGGGAGAGAAAAAGAAAAAATAGGAAAAGAATCGGAATCCGAATTACACGAGTTACGGAACAGCTATTTTACGGTCTCCCCGCCACTCCTTTGCGAAGGACGTGTGTATGTGCGTGTGTGCGTTGGTGCCTGAGTGCGTGGGTAAGGGCGGAAGGGATAAGAGCTTCGACTTCGTCGCGCGAGAGAGAAGACAAGAAGAAAAAAAAATGGAAACCGAAGGCCACAAGAGAGAGGGGGGCGAGGGAGGACAAAGAAAGCCAACAAGCACTTTCTTTTAGTTTTTTATATGTAACAAATAAAAAAAGGGAAAAAGGAAGTGTGAGAAAGCGCGAATGCTGGAGGGTGTGGGGGTATGTGTGGAGAGAGAAGAAGCACAGACACGCACCCTTCCTTTGGTCGTGTTTCTTTGCCACGTTCCCTCGCTTGTTACTCTTGTTCTTCGTCTTGCTTGCTTCTGCCGTTCGTCTCCTCGCTGAGCCGACACACGTTTCGTACTACTAATGATAACAACAACAACGAAGCGTCAACGACGGGCGGGGAACTCACGTTGCTTTCCTTTGTCTGCTGATAAAAATGCGTATAAGGAGCGGAGAAGGCGAAGAAGCGACGCGCGAGCACCGACGGAGGAGAGGCGGCGGCGGCAGTGCAAAAATAAATGGCGAGGCAAAGAGAAACGAAAGAGAAGAAGGCGGCAGCCCGGAATGCTTCGCTGCTCCGCACAGCACACACACACAGTGCAAGAGGAGAGAAGAGAGCCCTGAAGGGAAATCTTTTCTTTCAAAAAAAAAGGACAGAGAGAAAAAAAACAAAAGAGAAGAAGAGTGATAAAGCGGATATAACGAATCACTTCTGCTTTATTTTTACTTTTCTTTTTCTTCTTCAACGATTTCGATCAGCGTCCGACTTTTTATCTCGTAGGTGCGCTAGGCAGTGTATTTCTTTATATATTTATATTTATATTTTCCAGAATGACAGACGAACGCACGTGTGTGTGTGTGTGTGTGTGTGTGTGTGTGTGTGTTTCGCTGACTCAATCCCCCCTTCTGCAAAACCCTCTTTCTTCGTTTCTATAA